TCGATACTCCACATAACTCCTACTTTGAAAACAATGTTTTAGAAATGAAAAAGAAAGACATCTCATAGAAGAGTGATAGGGAACACAAATTTGCAAAGATGTCTTTCCTATGAGCTTCTAGGACTCAAGCTCCGCTGGGGAGGCAAATATACAACAGAAAGCAGTAGAAGCTCCAAAAGGAAAAAAAATTAGAATCGAAGATTTTAGCGGTGAGTTCTTTAGGCATGTCTTAGAAGGTGAGGATGAGGAATCAATTGCGTTCACCAAGAACCTGTCAAAATTAGAGAAAATACATATATGATAAGTAACCATTTCAAACTAAAGCATACAATACTGGAAAGAAAGGAACCCATCAAGAAAACTTAAGCAATGGAGTTAAATTATATCTAAACCTCCGAAGATTGCAGGAACGTATCAGGAGGTGGAAAAATTAACCGTTCATGGCAATAGCATAGTTCCTTGGTTGTCTAATAAAAGCTCCACCACCGCCGAATGCTTCACAGTGAACGAACCTAAGCAAATGATGGACAAAACCGACAAGTGAGAGCTGTGATCTTCTTCCACAGAGCTGAGATTTCTCTCACCGACGCCTTCAAACAGCAAGTGGACGGCGACTTCTTCACCGATAGCGACTCGTTCTGTCTCAGGAGGAAAGAGCAAAGGGGGAAAGCCTTCTGAAGAGGAAAGGGGGAAAGATCAGTTATTGAGACTGCTATATCATGTCCTCTTGGACCCACACCAACATTCGGATGATTGGAGCTAGAAGCAACTTCCAAACGCTTCTACCTAAATCATGGTTTTGAACTCCAAAACCATGATTTGACCTCAAACTATAGTTTAAAGAGACATCCAAACAGGGCTTGCGTACTTATCAAGTGGAGCATTAATTTTTTTTTAACCAAATTAACTATATTTTTTCAAGATTACTCCCTATTTATAGTTTAATGCAATTTTTTTGGTTCTCGGGATATAATTCATAATTTTAAATATGAATAGATGTAAAAAAAATTTATCTTCAAAGAAATTTAATGATTTGACATCTTTTTGGTTCTGGTGAGATAATTAGAAGATACCTTATACTAAAAATTGGAGTGTCATTCAAGGTTTCAAATAATGGAAAGCATGTAGAAAGTTCCTATTTTAAAGGGAAGAGATTTCCACCATTAGATTAAATAACTTTGAATGGTTGAAATGTAATATCCTATAAAATATTATTATAATATCAGATGACAAAACTATATATAAATGAATTCAAACTCCTAAAATTTGGAAAAAAATTAGAAAGAAGGACCTTGAAAATTGTAATTATTTAGGAGTACCAAATATCAATATATAAATTTAAAAATGCTAAAATGCCCCCAACTAAATCTCTTACATTTTCTCTAACTACTACCTCTACAACCCATTATGGATCTATTTTTCATTGATAAAAATATTTTTACACTGTTATTTTAATTTTATATCCATATTTCTATTATCTTATTTTTCAGATCTAATAACAACAAATATTGTTCAAATAAAATACATTTAGCCTTATATTTAATTGAAATTTTGAGGCTATAACCTCACTCCATCTATGCTCAATCGGTTGTAATCCTCAGACATATGTTTGAAGAAGCAGGTATAAGACTTTTAATTTAATGAAATGAAATAAATAAGCATACTAATAAAGAAGACAGGAGCTTCAATAATGTTTCCTTCTGTTTGAACAGGTCACTCGTGGCATGATTAGGGCTGGCCAGGATTTTTTTTTAAAAAAAATCACAACGGTTAAGTGAAATGCTGACTATATTCATTAGATACCGCGCGGACCCTTCACGTCAAGAATGGATTCGGCAAATTGGTTTAAGACAATGATTTGCTTAGGAAATAGAAGGCAGTTCAAAGAAAGCAAAGGTACAGTGTGCTTCCTGCCAATCTTTAGCTTCATCATTGTCATGTTTTCTGAAATGAGCAATGTTTTGTCAAAAGCCAGAGTTATGTATGAAATAAAAAGCCAAGTTGACTTTGACATGATGCATTCCATATTGGGGACAATAATGTTTGTTTAAACAAGTACTTGAATCGCTTTATCAATATGTTGGATGCAACAATGCTGTTTATTACTAAAATTCATTTTGTATCTGAGGCTTCTGTAAAGGCTAAGAGGATTAAGTGTAAAAGATGGGATCAATGCAATCCCAAATCAGAATACAGTTACATTGCTTATTTGACTGGAAGAAAAAAAGATACAATAGGATGAAAATGATCACCCTAACATATACCAGTACTTCAACCTCCTTCTTTGAAGTTGCCGGGTTATGGCATGGGAAAGGTCTTTTAAAGAAGCCATAGCAATAGCAATTCCAGCAACAAATAAGTCATCTTCAGTTTGAGTTGAATTTATGTCAAAGGCTGGAGCAGCAAGCTGTAAAAGATGAGATCAATGTAATCCGAAGTCCGGATATAGTTACACTTCAGTTATTTGACATACTAACATACCAGTTCTTCTGAAATTTTGTTTTATATTTGTAGGAGATGAAGCTATGGAGAGGTGTTTAGAGCAGAAGATTGTGAAATGCAGAAGTGAGAAATATTCAATAATATATCATTGAAGTACTCAAAATATTGAGGGATCCCTGAAGCAACATGGTGTAAAAGAGGGATCAATGCAATCCATAATCAGGAGTCACAGTTTGGTTAGTTGATGGGAACAACAGAGGAAAATTTAGGAAGAAACTAAAAAAAAACACACACACACACAGTTACCTTGGAAAAGCTGACTTTAGGGGGCATTTGAGGTGAAAAGCCAATGTGAGAGCAAATACTCAACCATCTAGAATTAATGCTATCAGTCAATAGACTAGGCATGTGAGCAGCTTCCAAACTCAATGTCTTCTCAACTTTGATATCCATATTGCCATGCTTTCAACTCTAGCAACCTCCCCCATGTCATCCAACTCTTCTACTTCCTCTTCCTCTTCCTCTTCACACTCTTCAATGGAAAGATCATCTTTACTTATAAATTTCCTCAAAATCCTAACCCTGTTGTGAGTGTGCACTGCCATTCTTTTAGTATTGTCGTTCAATAGCTTTGCTGGGAAATCCCACATCATTCTCATGAAAAAGGACACCAGCATGCTTACAAATTGCAGTCATGATTCGACCAAAGGGAAGATGGGTTTTCTTTCTGTTTGGATTGGCTGTGAAAAAAATAGCTTATTTCTAATCTAACTTTTAGAAAAGTAAGATTGTGTAAAAATTAAATTGGCTAAGGTGAATTGTGTTTGGATTGGAGTTTTAAAAAGTTAGTTTGTAAAAGTGATATTGGTAAAAAGTTATTTGGATTATGAATGAGTAAAAGTTTGTTTGTTTGTAAAATTATCAAAATGGATATGAGTTTTAATAAATACTAACGAAACATGATTTAAAAAAATGATTTTACATAATACAATGAATTTAAATTAATTTAATATGAAGAAGTGAAATTTAATGAGTGAATTAAATTTTAAAACTTTACAAAAATCATAAAAAAAATTTAAATATAAAGTGAAACATGATAAAAAATGAATTTACATAATACAATGAATTTAAATTAATTTAATATGAAGAAGTAAAATTTAATGAGTGAATTAAATTTTAAAATATTAGAGAAATAAAAAAATATTGTAAATATAATTTTTACTAGAGAGTGAATATGAAGACTTGAGATATATATAAAGACTTGCGCTTGATTATCTGGCAAGGGCGACGGTGTGAGAGAAAATAAAAGAGGGAATAATTCTAACACACACGGTCCATAAGCCCTTCAAATAAGTTCCTTCCCACAGCTTAATTTCAAACGCACGATTGGTCCAGCTTATGCACTCAAACTCAATAGCCCATAAGCCCTTCCAAACAGCATCTGATTTCAATCGGGCGTCTGCCCAAAATAAGTAGGTTATGGCCCAAAATAAGCCCTCCCAAACAGTCACTTAGTTTTGGGTTTTGCGAACTTCTTCGTGCTTTACATGATTGAAATGATCAATTTCCCAAAATTCACCTGTTTTCTGTTAAGCATATGCCAGCAAACAATCCTTTAAAGTAAACTAGCCTCAGAGTGACTTCCTGCTTCAGGCAGCATGATGTGAATAAGGATCATGTGCAAAATTCTGGGCATCAGTCCCAAGAATATTTATACTTCCATCCCCTTTTTGTGAAATATGTCTACAAAACCCAGTGTCGTTATAACTTTCTACTGAAATCTGCTTCTCACTAGTGTTGACAATACAAAATCCATCGTCAACTAATCCAAAGGCTTCCCTCAATTTTGCACTATTAATCTCAACTTTAGTATTTGTCGCTGTAGAAATCACCTTATAATCTTCTTTCTTTCCTTTAAAATTGGAACAAAACTCTTCAGGTAAATTTACTTCATATTTTATAAATCACGATTAAAATATTATTTATAAATCATTCCAAATAAGCTTTTTTTTGCTAGAGAAGTCAGTTTATGGAGCTGAAATGCCATACTAAATATGATCTTGTGATTAAAACTCAAACTCAAGACAAAATTCAGTGCTCACAAACCCCATCAATTAAGGTATGCGCTCATTGGTATTCACCTATATTTCTACAGCTGCCTCCAAACAAAGCATCATTTTGTTTTTCTGTTTTTTGTTTTGGTCGCCACAACCAAGCAGAATTGTGATCCCTTCGAGAAACACCAACACTAGACATAAGAGCACCATCAAAATTAATTTTGATCCAAGCAACAGGAAGTTCTTCCATTCGACTAGATTGTCCGTGCAATTTTGCATAAGATTGTGTCGGTTAATCAGCGAAGCTTTATGTTCAGTAGCTTCATCAGATTTGACAAGTGCTAAATATGAGTATATTTAGCTCACATGTTTATTTAGCTCACATGTTTCTTGAGCTATAGGCAAAAGGCAATATAGAACTCTGTAAGTTGTCATACTCACTTTTCAGAAATCATCCAAAAGTTTTAATTTTTATATTTCTAAAAATAAATAAAAAAAATCCAACGAAGCAATATACTGTTTTCTATTTGTATTTTACAATTGAGAACATATGTAACGGCCGCTAGAATATCTATTACATTCACAGGATTACCAAAACAGGGTTTAAAAAATAAAGGAACTCTTCTGTTGACTCTTTGTAAATTCTTTAAATATACATTATTGAGGAAGAAAACAGAAGAAACAGAAAGATGAACCAACCAATCACACTCAAAGGGTCTGAAATTCACCGACTTCCATCTGTATATGCAGAAGTAGGGAATGAACGGATTTAAATAGATAAGATGTTTACTTATTTTCTTCAGTGATGTATGATTTTTGTGTGTGTGTGTGTGTTTTTTTTCTTTGTTAGCGTGCTGAGTGTTTATAGCCTTCCTTCATGTGTCATATTTTTCTCTATATCTGAGTAAGACAATCTCCTGGCTTTTGGATTAACCACTGTTGGTTTAAATGAAACAGCGCCTCTAGGTGTTGATGAGTTCTTGTCCTTTTGAACCTTGCTAGCTTGCTTAGTTTGAGCCTTTCTAGGAGGCGTATTGGCAACACGGCTTTCCCATGGGCGAGCAGCAATCCAGCGGTCCTTCCAGCTCCAACCCCAGTTACCTTTGTTGAGTTCATAATTTCCCAGCCCTTGGTTCTGACTAGAATTGGATCTCCACTGTATATCAATGATTCATAAGATATAGATGTGATTTGAACTGAAGATGAATATGGAGAAACAAAGTGATTGTGAGACTCATTTTGTAAGATTAATTATAACCTACTTGGTGAGAAAAGGCATATGCCAGAGCTCTTTCTCGTTTTACTGCTGCTTCTTCTCTATAATGTATCCTTGCAAGAATCTCCTCCATAGTTTCAGGACCACCACACCATTCAACCTGTAAGTAAATGTCGTTTCGCTATTACTTGAACAGAGTAACTGAATGGATTTAAAAAAAAAAAAAAAGCGCTCATGTGAGGTGATGCCAGATTGCCAGTGCTATTAACTAGTCAGTGATAAATCTTTTCAACCATCTCATCCGGATACTGAAAGTGTACACCAATTTGCAAATAATTAGCCAGTGACTATGATCTAAAAGAGAAAAAGCATGTTTTAGGAAGACCATGAAATGGTGAAATCTTTGATGTGATGTTGATGTTGGTTGAAAGAAAGAATTCCAGCATCCCGTTATTGAAAACTCTTAGCTTAACAAGCCATCAAACCACAAAGGAAAGGATACCTCTAGATCATGGAGCTTTGCCTCGAGTTTTTGTTGTGACTCTAGCTTCTTCCGTCTGACCCTGTCTTCTGTCACCATACAGATTCGGCGAGCTCTAATCTCACTTTGTATCTTGCTCCATTCATGAAGATAACTTAAAGTTGTATCAGCTTGCTTTTTAACAGAGTGACGTTGGGTCGCAATTTTTAATTTTGCAAACCCTTTCAATCGACGAAGAGATTTTCTTGCCTAAAAGTGGAAAGCAGCATTTCAGAACAAAAATCAGCAGCTGATAAATAACAGAGGTTCATGTTCATGCAAGTGAATTAGCAGCACATGTTAAAATAAGTCATGCATGCATGAGTCCTCATTCCTCGTTCAGTCTCATGTGACAATAAAGTTAAAAAAGTGACACTACAAGTAAAACTAAAAGGAAACATGTAGGCCACCTTCAGTACCCTCTTCTTTTATATCATCCTTGACGTTATAACATTGAGGAGGAAGGATCTTCATACAGGAGTCTATGGTTTTGTTGTGGGTGAATCTTCTAACTCTCATTTAATAGTGAAAAATTAAGAGTCAGGCTTGTGTGGTCAGTAAGTAAAATAAGAGGCTATATTTCTATTTTAGTGAATACGTAAATTTACAATTACCGTCGTACCAGTTAAGAAAAGTCCATATCTGATATCAGCCTGCATTGTACTGTGCGTAAATATTGATGGGTTTTTTTTATGCCATTATATACCTTAGCGCTAATTGAACTTGGGTTGGAGGTTCCAGGGTGTTTAAGAACTCTATTCCGCAAAAATTTCAACTTCACATACCTTATAAGCCCGATATGCTGTTTGGATTCTTGTTGCTGCAATAGTTTCAACTGAGACCCCACGTAACACACGACTAGCACTTCTAGCACCATTTTCTACACCACTAAAACCCTTTCCTCTATGATTATTTGACTCCATTGCACTGGGTTTCCCTGAAGCTTGAGATCCCTGACTCAAAATGTGAGCATATATGGACAGAAATGTTCTGGTTACAGAAGCCTCAGATACAAGATAAACTTTAATGCATCTTGGTAATAAACAGCATTGTTGCATCCTAAATATTGATAAAGTGATTCAAGTACTTGTTTTAAACATTTATTGCCCCTAATGTGAAATGCATCAAGCCAAACTCAAATTAACTTTTTATTTAATACATAACTCTGCCTTTCACAAAACAGTGCTCATTTCAGAAAACATGCAATGATGAAGCATAAGATTGACAGAGAGCACACTGTACCTTTGATTTCTTTGAACTGCCTTTTGTCTTTCCCAAGCAAATCATCGTCTTAAACCAATTTCCTGACCCCATTCTTGATGCGAAGAGTCCTGGGGTTATTTTAAATGAATATAGTACTCATTAGCATATCACTTAACAGTTGTGAAGTTTGAGGGGAAGGGGGGGGGGAGCTGGCCTAATTACGCCACAAGTGACCTGTTCAAACAAAAGGAAACATCAGTGTAGTTTTTGTCTTCTTTACCAGTATACTTATTTATTTCATTTTGTTAAATTAAGGCCTAATACCTGCTTCTTCAAACATATATCTGAGAATTACAATAGTGTAAAAGATTGAATATTCTTTTGTAACATGAGTCGTTTATAATCAAGTCCAAATGTTTGCGCCAGCTGCCCTGTGCCTATGATGCATCATATTATAAATATACACATAAACAAGCAAACTCATATACATATTTATGCATAAATGCAGAAATTCAAACACACCCACATGATCACTTTGACACACTATATATAATACTCATTCACAGAGTCTTTCAACATAAAAACGGCATGTTGTCTTGCAGGGAGAAGAAACTTACTTTACAATTAGATTCTGTTACCAATTACATTAAGATCAGCGGAACATCCTCCAGTCCAATTATAACATAGTGTGCAACATATTAAGAATAAAAAAAATGATGTATATTGCACATTTTGAACTGAATTAATAAACTATAAGCATTACTATTCTAAGCCATCTAGGCTGCTAGAGTTGGCACCAAAATGTATCCAATTTATTCTGTACGTGCTGCAAGCAGTAACTGTAGTGAAGAAGAGGATGAAATGAGAAGATGAAAGATGACTGAGGGATAAGATGAATCACAGAGGAATATCGTTCCATTCACTCTTTTGGCTCCATAATTTTGTCCACGTGTAATAATTGACTACAATTCTTGTTAACATGGCTCATAAGCATAACAGTAACACCCAAATAACGAATCTCTAAACTGATCTTAACATTGTTCACTTCACCCTTCCCCTCTATTGGGATCAAGCAAGTCCAAGACTCCCAACTTGGAAACCAAATACTGATCCTGTTCTTTTCTAAGGCTTTCTGTCAATATGTCTGCTAGCTGCTCTTTACATGCTGAGTCTTAATCACACCTTTTGAACTTTCTCCTTTATAAAATGAAAATCTATCTCTATATGCTTGGTCCTTTTCATGGGATACCAGATCTGTAGTTATATGAATTACTGTCTTGCTATGACAATGCGTACTCGCTGACTGACTCTGATACCATGGAGTGAAGAAGAAGATGAAACAAGAAAATGAAAGATGACCAAGAGAGAAGATGAATAACAGACGAATATTATTGCATTCATTCTATTGACTCTAATCACTCCGCACACATGTATAAATTAGCTACAGTCCTCATATGCATGGTTCATAACAGTTAAACTAATCTCTAGCTACTCTTAACGTCCTTCGCTTCACAGTAACAACAATAACATATCCCTCCACATCGGTAATTTATACACAGAACCACAAAAATATGGACCAACAAATCAAGTCCTGGGAACAAAGCAAGCATGAAATTCTTATTAGTCATCAATATGCAAAAATGCGCAGAATAACATAGAATCCAAGGACTGCAAAACCAAACAAAACTGCATCTGGGTGTGCCATACCAGATAAGAAGCCGCAAAATGCCCAAGGCAAGACGACCCTCCTCCTAAAGTCGGGCAATCTAGATTTGGGACGAAAAAGTAGTAGACAATAATATCAGCAGAAGTAAAAGAGAAGTAAAACCCGGCCAAGAGTGAAGGAAAGCAAGAAGAGGGGAAAAAACAAAAAAGAAAATATAAAAGTTCGGTGAAGAATGTCGACTGCCATGGCCCAATACCAGCTTTAATTTTCCCATTTGATGCAGTAGGGGAAAGAAAGAGACTCTCTCTATCTAAAGAAGCTGAGAGATGAATGTTGATTGGAGTGAAGAGTACGTAGTCGAGGGCAATGCAATGCCATAGGTGGTTGGATGTGAAGAATTCAACAGAGAGAGGGTACAGCGACAGCAGAACCAACCGTGGCAACATTTTGTTGGCAATGGGCTGCTTTCCTTCCTTTCTGGGCGTCATTCTAGATTGGACCAATATGAACAAGGAAATGGCATTTTTCCTCTCTTTTTTTTTTCAACATTTTCAAAGTTGTTCGTGGACGAAATCGAAAACAAGGGTCTTCGCTAATTAATCGTCAGGATCAGACTAGGAATTAGGGTCCGGTTAGGCGTTGGGATCTGGTACAGGCGGGAATACGGAACAAGTTGCGTCATTGCCACGTGGGGTCTTATCAACCGTTGCTCAGAGAAAACGGACCCTTAAGGGTGATCTCGGGGGTGTCTGACGTGGCGAGTTCTTATTGGCTAGAAAATTACGGTGAACAAAAAGCCTGGTCCCGGCGGGGCTCGAACCCGCGACCTTCGGCTCATAAGACCAACGCTCTAACCAACTGAGCTACGGGACCTTGACGTTTGCGAAGAAAACGGTTTTATCCTTATTAGAAATGGCAAACCCCAGCACATTGGTTATCATATTTAATACTTGCTATGATTTATTATAACTTAGAAGCAGAAATCAAAGAGTCAATCAGAAAAGCTTGACTCTCCTATGGTTGGTATGAATTTTCTCATTAATCTTTTGCGGAAAAAATAACACCAATGGAAGTCTTTATATGAATGGGAACATATGAACAAAGAACAATGGAGGAGGGTTGAATAGTAAAGTAACATTAAAATTTTGTTCATTCTATATTGTTAGCCGGAGAATGATAAGTGAAAACTATTCACTGCTTACAAAAAAAAATGCTGGTTTCATTTATGAAACTTAATGGGGAAGAGTTCCAAATAGTGGTCCAAGACTAGATGGTAATCATCACAGCTAAAACAAAATATTCGAAAGCCAATAGTCTATGGCACAATTGATGACAGATGAAAGGTTGTGGACTTGTGGGTTCTAACCTTAAAGTGACCAACGCAATGACGGTGTGACAGTCTAAGAAAATAGGTGGGAAAAGATTGTTCTAGTTTTTTTTAAAACAAAAAAAAAATAACCAACAAAAGTGTAAAAAAAAAATGTCCATTTTAAATTGCCACTTGATTAGCAATATATAGTTAATCATAAACAGTTAACAACAAAAAGAGCAACGTTATGCGTGTGAGAGAGAAGTTGTGCTACGTGCAAAGAGTTCAAGCATAAAAAATTTATTATTACTTTCGGTACTTAATATAAAAGTTAATTTAATTTTAAATTTGGTTCTAAATATAAGACTCGAATTTATTTTTTTAATCATATTTATCTATTTTTTTCAAAATAATCTCTATAATAGTTGTACACACTAAAGATTTCATCAAATAGTAATTTTGGTCGATACACATTATTGGTAAAAGTATTTTAGAGAAGATAAAATATATTTATTACAAATAACTAATTTAGCTAATTTTAATTTTTTTCAAATTAGTTGACTAAGTCTTGTAGTAAAGACCGGAGGTAATATTAAAAGCAGATTTACAACTTTTACTATCGTTAATACATGCTATATATAATTATATAATCACAAAATTTCTCAAATTATTGGCTGCTTCTATGAGAGGAGACGACTCTGTGGTTCTCATATCCGTTAATAATATCCTATAAAAATGGAAGAAAGTGAAATTTGACATCTTTATATAAATCCATAGGAATCAGTCACCTTTTTCATTTTTTGTTGCAATTGCTTCTTCAAACGTATTATATATATGGCATTGTGATTGTGATAGCAATGCCATTAATGAAAATATATGATGTGCACAAAAAAAATTACATTTTTTATTTAGAATAATGATATTTTTATCAGTTTCGTGATTAGAATTTTATATATAACCAAGTCAGTGCTATGAATGTTTGATTGTGTATGTCTAAATTTATCATATTCAACTAAAAAATTTCTTTAAAAGTTAAAAGATTGTACTCCTCCGGTCCTAATTATAAGACCCAATTGACTTATTTGAGGAGATTAAGGAAGTAAGTTAAGTTGGTTATTTATAATAAATAAGTGTTGTCATTCCTAAAATATCCTTACTAATTAAGTATATTAGCTAAAACTATCATTATTAGAAGGATTATCTTGGAAAAAAATACATAAATATAAGAGACAAAATGGATTGGGGTCTTATAATTAGGACTAAATAAAAAGTTAAATGGGGTCTTATAATAAGGACCGCAGGAGTATTAATATTAATTTATGCCTTTTGAATTTTTTTTTTTTGGGGACCGATCAGGACCTCCTACAAATTATGTACATGAGTTTTTAATTAGTATACGTTTGACTTACTCAACTCGTTAAAGCCATAAACTTAAAGAGCCAACTGGCAAGTTTAATTAAATTTATAACTAATACAAGTTTAAGAACGAATTAACATGATTATGTTAGCTGGTAAAATCAGAAAATTAACTCACAAGTTTAACAACAGTAGATAAAAGAGTTTAGATAATTCATTGTAAAATTTTGAAATAAAACGAAAATTATCTATACATATATGACATAAAATTAGCGAAATTATGTACTATAATAATACAATGTTGCCTTTTAATATAGTTTGAAAAGATAATAAATACTTATTTGATCCTATTTATAAAGAACTTCTAATGTGTTTCACACAAACCAAGAAAAATCTTAAACTGCATTAACTCTTCATTAAAGTATAGCAGCTTTTCAACTTTACCCCTGTTTAATATATACACCTTTCAAAACAAATAACTATCTATACTATAATAAATAAAAAACAATATGATACATTCATGATAAAAATTTAATAAAATAATTTATAAATATAGCCTAAAAAAATGTTCTTTTTCTGTCTTCTAAATAAGACCACTAACTCACCCATCGTCTGTGGATCAGCTGGCGAAGGGGTGAGACATATGACCAAGTTGACATGTGTTCGATTCCTAGGGAATACCACTTTGTTGTGATTCCAATCGTGGCGCTTGGGAAGGCATCCTAGTTCCTGGGTGCCTAGGTAAACGTCTGAGGATAATTGACTACTTGCCCTGCCCAACATTGATATAACCTAGAAGGAAGGGAGATTTCGCCCTGTCCTTGGATCGTGGGTGAGCCCAATTTCTTTTCAAAAATTTTTATACCAAACAAAAAGACCACTAACTCTGTCATAAAAGGAAAGGACAAGGCATTTATTTCTGGACAAAACTATCTGACAAAAATTTTTAAGGGATACTAGTTTTACTTCAGTTTATAAACCTTAAATAATTCGAAGTCCATTTCTATGCCAGCTGTATATGAATGCAAATCTCATCAAGTCTGAGGAAAAATATCATAATAAATAGCTGAATCTTTGGCATAAATTCTCATAATTGAATTTCCACTAAATCCAAATGCGCTAAACCAGTGGCATATCGAACTGAATTTTATTGTTTTTTTTTTTTTCATATCTCCCAATCATCAATGCTGTTTAACTCTCCTTCATCATTTCTTTGGATTCGTCCAACCCTGTCACTACCTAAATTTTATATTTCCCACAGTATGTTCTAAGTTTCTGATTTAGATTTTCTGCATTTAGTAAATAAATATTTACTAATCATCATTCATCAGTACTCATATATACTAAAAAAAATTCTATATCAACTTACGCTTTGTATATTCATATGTAGTTTGAGAATAAATAAAAACGAAGTGAACTGTGTGTGCGCGTGTGATGGCCGTATCAGTATATAGGATCTTGCCTTGTCTCCATCTTTTACATATTTTCAATTCTTTTATTATTTTATGTAATATTTCTTTTTTTAAAAAACTGTATGGTTCATTATTATATTATTAGAGAAAAATTAACCTTAAAATTCGTAGATCAAAGAGATGGAAAAAGTGAATGTTATATTACATCAGATTTTCCTATATTCTCGTTCAAATCTCATTATTAGTTTATTACATACACTCATTTACCTCTTTCCTAGTCTCTCCCCAACTGTACCGTGAACACACACACACACACACATATATGGGATCTTGTCTCTACCTTATATTTAACATATTTTCATTTTTTTAATATCACACGTTTTTTTAACGTATGGTGCATTATGAAAGAAGAATTCAACCTTAAAATTCGTAGCTCAAATTTACATTAATCAATTTTCAAATATATGGCTCTGCCTTTTTCATTAAGTTATTCTATTAATGGCATTTGATATGTCGTATGTGTTTGTTGTGTAGGAGTACTATACTATATATAATCATATATGCACAAATATTCTTGCTAACCGTCTTTGGATCCCTCTCTCCAGCTAAGATCAATCCATAAAAAGGGTCATTCTCCTTTTCTTTTATTTTATTTTATTTTATTTTATTTTATTTTATGTTTTCTTGATGATTTTCGTTGTGGACTGGGAATTAATTATATCTCTGACCACAAAATAATGGTGGGATATAATATATATTTATATATATATGTGATCTTCTTAATGAGTAAAGATTGCAACTTTATGACCCATGTGAAGAGTAAATAAGTGTGCATGTAAATATATATAGATGTATGTGTGTGTGTGTGTGTTGGCTTTGTCAAATATTTCTGAGCATATATACCATATATAGAGAGATAGTCAAAATATAAACATTTATTTTGTTCTTTTGGAAAGATTTGATTTTAAAATAGAAAAGTAGGAATTAAGGGTGTAACATATACTAGTCAAATCTTTGAAATTTTTTTGCATTTTAGGAAGGCTTTTGAGGCATACACAGTTGCCTTATATAGGCGTAATTGATTCGTCTATCTCTAGTGTCTTCCAAATTAATTTTTTTAATTCAATTAATTCAAAAAGATGTAAATGGATTATATGGCAGCTAGGTCGGAAACATGGGTGTTTGTTTGCAAGGTTTTGCCATCCTCTTGCTGGAATTGCAATAATTTTTTTTTTAATCAAAGAAGTGCAATCATTGAAACCAATAGAGATAACACCCATCTGCTCGGCAAATTTGTTGCCTTGTTGCAATAATAGTTTTTATAAAATATTATTTTCTGGTCCTATTTGTAAAGCAGACAAAAAGATTTTTCTTAGTTCTATTTATGAGTCATTTTATTAAACTTTAAGCATAAGTATACTATTTTATTCTTTATTTATTATAATGTAGATAGTTTTTTTTTAAAAGGTGTATATAATAATTAAGGGTAACATTAGAAAATTGTTATATTTTAATGAAAAGTTAATACAGTTTAAAATTTTTTTGATCTTTATAAAATATGTTAAAAGTGCTTTATAAATAGAACTAAAGGAGTAATTCTCAACCATTTTTTTTTTTTTTCACTTGAGTGAAGATGAGATTCTAAGAAGGAGAAGAAGGATATTTATTAAATATAAATACACATATTCTATCTCCATAAATATTATAATTATTGAAATATAAGCTATCATTATTAAATTGTATTAATTCGTTATATATATAAATTTTTATATTGAATTATGCATTCAATTAACCTGGCCTATATTTTGATTAAATGAGATTCATATGCACTAAATGATAGTAGACTTTCAGCACATTTAATATAATTTTCCCTTGCAGATATAAATGTATACAGAAATGATAGACTTCTTCACATCGGTTTTCCAAACAAGATCATTTGCAATTAATATTTTCTACATAGAAAAAAAAATGCAATAAGTAAATAATGAAATGCGATCACCCCATCACCACTAGTAAATTGGCCAAAAGAAATTGGATAATTTACAAGATCAAGGACGTTTGGAGCCAAGTAAAAATATGATTTTCCCAGTTGCCAAACGGACCCTAAACACAGAAAACGTATTAATAATTAATAAATGAAATGAAAATAAGTAAAAAAAATTTGACCAAAGACCAATATACTCCCTCCGTTCCTTATTATAAGAGACATTTGATACTCATGGCATGTTCCTATATATTTTAAAATAGAAAAGTAGGAATTAAGGGTGTAACATATACTAGTCAAATCTTTGAAATTTTTTTGCATTTTAGGAAGGCTTTTGAGGCATACACAGTTGCCTTATATAGGCGTAATTGATTCGTCTATCTCTAGTGTCTTCCAAATTAATTTTTTTAATTCAATTAAATTCAAAAAGATGTAAATGGATTATATGGCAGCTAGGTCGGAAACATGGGTGTTTGTTTGCAAGGTTTTGCCATCCTCTTGCTGGAATTGCAATAATTTTTTTTTTAATCAAAGAAGTGCAATCATTGAAACCAATAGAGATAACACCCATCTGCTCGGCAAATTTGTTGCCTTGTTGCAATAATAGTTTTATAAAATATTATTTTCTGGTCCTATTTGTAAAGCAGACAAAAAAGATTTTTCTTAGTTCTATTTATGAGTCATTTTATTAAACTTTAAGCATAAGTATACTATTTTATTCTTTATTTATTATAATGTAGATAGTTTTTTTTTTAAAAGGTGTATATAATAATTAAGGGTAACATTAGAAAATTGTTATATTTTAATGAAAAGTTAATACAGTTTAAAATTTTTTTGATCTTTATAAAATATGTTAAAAGTGCTTTATAAATAGAACTAAAGGAGTAATTCTCAACCATTCTTTTTTTTTTTTTCACTTGAGTGAAGATGAGATTCTAAGAAGGAGAAGAAGGATATTTATTAAATATAAATACACATATTTATCTCCACAATATTATAATTATTGAAATATAAGCTATCATTATTAAATTGTATTAATTCGTTATATATATAATTTGTATTAATTCGTTATATATATAAATTTTTATATTGAATTATGCATTCAATTAACCTGGCCTATATTTTGATTAAATGAGATTCATATGCACTAAATGATAGTAGACTTTCAGCACATTTAATATAATTTTCCCTTGCAGATATAAATGTATACAGAAATGATAGACTTCTTCACATCGGTTTTCCAAACAAGATCATTTGCAATTAATATTTTCTACATAGAAAAAAAAATGCAATAAGTAAATAATGAAATGCGATCACCCCATCACCACTAGTAAATTGGCCAAAAGAAATTGGATAATTTACAAGATCAAGGACGTTTGGAGCCAAGTAAAAATATGATTTCCCAGTTGCCAAACGGACCCTAAACGCAGAAACAACGTATATAATTAATAAATGAAATGAAATAAATAAGTAAAAAAATTTGACCAAAGACCAATATACTCCCTCCGTTCCTTATTATAAGAGACATTTGATACTCATGGCATGTTCCTATATATAAGAGACACTTACAAGTTGTCTCTACTTTTTTGTGTTGATTTACTATTTTATCCATATTTATTATCTCCAACTCACACTCTCTCTCCCTCCCACTTCTCTTTCTTTTAATAATTTAATTGTTCTCTCTCATGCTCTCTCTCCTTATTAATGAGGGCATTTTTGGAAAAAAATTATACTTTTTACACATTAATTGTTCTTAACTAATTTTAACTGTTTTTTTTATCAACATACTTCGGTTATTTGTCTCTTATAATAAAGAACAGAGAGAGTAGTTTATAAGGACAAAAAAAGCAATAAATGAGTTTAAATTCAGATAGGTGGGCCCCACAGCCCCACAATAGAAGGAGGAGTAGTAGGACTTCTGCATATAAGGAGTATGTATATGCCTATAAATTGCATGCGATAGTATTAATAGCTGGGCGAGGAAAATGAAACCCATTTGTTAAAAATAGCAAAGATTTTCACTGATTCCTAGACGCTATACCCTCAAGAGTAGAAGAAGAACTCTCTCAGAGTAGATCTTAAAAGGTCTTTGTTTTCCCAGAGAAAGCAAAATCGAGTGAGAAAAACAAGCGCGAGAAATGCGAGAAAGCGAGAAAGATTCTTCTGATGGGCATGCTTGGATTTCCGGGCTTTGAAACACTCTTTTCTCTCTCGCGGTTTTTTTGGTTTTCTCGGACAAGGTCTGAGAAAATCCTGGAAAAAAGCATTTAGATCATTAGATACCTTCTTCTTCCGCTTCACTCTCACTCTCAAGCTTTAATTTCTTCTTCCTCTTCTTCTTCTTGATTTGCTCCTCCTAGGTACATTCATACATACATGCCCTTTGATATCTCTTCACTCTCATAAACTCCCATCCACAAATCCTGGAATCACTGATCTCATCACTGTTTTCCTCTATAGCGTCACATCTTCAAATAGGTCTGTGTTTTTGAACTGTCTTCTGATCATTATTTTCTGCTATACTGTGTGATATCTTCAAATGGGTTAGTATTTTAGAACTGTCTGTCTCAGATTTGAGCACTGGTTTTTCAAATCTCGATTCGTTTATTCAAACGAAACAGACAACCAGATTCAGATATACAGACTGTGATACGGGTCATGTTCACCAGTAGTAGTAGCAGTGGCGGCGGCGGAGGTGGCGGTGTTGGTGGCGGTGCCGGTGGTGGCGGGTGTGGCTGTGGGAGTAACGGTAATGGCGGTGGTTCTGGGGTTTGGAGTTCTGGGATGAAGAAACAGCAGAAACGTCCAAAAATTCCAAAACGAGGACCCGGTGTGGCTGAACTGGAAAAGATCTTGAGAGAACAAGAAAAGTCAGAGGGAGGAATTGATATTAATAATATTAGTAGTAGTAACAGTAATAATGATAATAATAGTGTAGGAGGATTTTCAGGTTTCAATCTTCATCACCATTCATCTCCACCAATGAAGCCCCACTGCCCTCCGCCGCCGCCTCCTCCTCCCCCTCCGCCACCTATGCCCATGACGGTGACATCTCGTCCTCCTCCGCCTCCTCCTCCTTCTCACGTTCCAATAGCCCCAAGATTTGACCACTTAAGCCCACCTCCCATGGCTGCTTCTGCTCTCTATGGCTATAGCACAGCGACACAAGGAAGGAATTTTCCAGAACAGCCTCTATTCCCCATGAATCCGAGTTCGTGTGATGGATTGTCCCAGCCAGATCATCATCATCATCGTCACCACTCTGCAAATTCATCTTCCAAGAATATTTTCAGTGATCAATCCAGTAACAATCATCTTTTTTCTTACTCTGGTTTGCCTCAAAAGAGACACTGTACTAATCAGTACTCATCGTCCATGGTAATTAAGAACTTAACTAGCTGGCTCCATATTTATGTTTAAGTAATCACTGTGAACAATAATGCGTCTGAGATTCTCATTTCTTCTTCATTTGGGTGATCTGTGTTGTGTTGTTGCAGGTGAAACAGTATTTAGGCCCTTGTGTACCACCGCCTTCTTCAAGCTCATTACCAACAGGCCTGCATAATCATGAGCCCCCTTCAAACCAAAGTTCTTACTTCAATGGCATATCAAGGAACCCAGAGGAAAATAAGGTCACAGCTCTTGTTTTCTATTCAATTCTTTATCTTTTAAAACATCTATGTTTAAGATCAATTCAAAGGCTAATTATCTTTTCTTTCTTTGTTTCTATTTCTCATTTGCTTGAAAAAAAGTTTCATCATATCGTATGCAACCTAGTTAGTCTCAGGAAGGAAGAAGAATGAGCCGTTTTTTACAAGAAAAAAGAAAGAGAGTAACTTGCCTAGGCTTTGGTTAAATGTTTGTGTAACTGGTTTTAAAGTTGAATTCATTAAGGATTCTTTTTGACTTTGATATTTTCAGTTATGATGAACCAGCTGTTTCTGACTGTAGCATGTGAATTTGTGCCCAATAGAATATATTTCCCCGAAACTGACTACAACGAATGAGAGAAACTAATTGTAAGTTGTAAATTATATTAATATGGCTTGTTTTCGGTTGTTGCAGATGGTAGGTATGAAGAGGCCTCACCCAAATTCTTCATCATTTGATCAAAACTCTCTGGTTCCTTCACCAAACTTCCAAGTTTCTCCAATTTTCTCAAACTTAATTACCAGACCACACAAGTCATCATCTTCAAACGAAAGTCACATCAGTGCAAGCAACTTCACTTCCTCTAACAATGATTGCTTCAGGTTGGTGATGATGAACTCCTTCAATAATATCCAATTAATCTCTTCAATAAGGTTTTGTTTAATTTGCTGATATATTGTGTTAACAGGGATATGAAATGGGGTGGTCCTTTGGGATTTAGCAGCAGATCAAAGGTTGGTTCTGAGAGTAATAATGGAGGATTTTCTTCATTCAACGGAAATGCTGCTCCTAACCCAGTTCCTTCACCTCCCATGCTTATGTTTCAAAGGGAACTATGCAACACCAGTAATTCCCTCCCTAATTACCAAGTTACAGGAGTAAGTTTCAATCTTTTTCATTTCCTACATTTCAAATTTCTCTGGTCTTTATGTAGAGAAGATCAATAGAAAATGGATAAGAGGGAGATGAAGAAGGGGATGGGACCCACGTAAATACGTTAAAATATGAATCTCTTCAGAAGTAATTTTTAGTTCAGGTGGAATGAATAGAATTATATAGGTGCATGGTACTGGTTGTGGGTCCCACTAACTCGTGGGTCCCCTATAAGTGAAGCCCACTATTTGATGCTTAGTGTTTTTCTTTGTGGTGTGAAAATTTACAGGAGAGGATGGAGGAATCTTACCAAAAATCAGAATCTTCAAGTGGATCAGATCAGAGACCTTTCTATAACTTTTTAGAAGTGAAGGAAATAGGCACGAAAGAAACTACGCTAGATGGATCAAACCATGAGGGATCTCAATTAGGAATCAATGGCCCTGATCTTACATTGAAGCTCTGATAACAACGGCGGGCGGCGGTACTGGCAGCCGACTGGTGGTCGTGAAGAAGAGGAATGTGCATCTGCATTATTTCTCAGAGCTCTCTGGAGATCTCTGGTTCATATGAGGATGATGCATATATTGGTTTATTTTTCAGACTCAAGGCAATATATAATCTTCCGTTGTTATGTTATGTAACAAGTGAAGAAGGAGAAAAACAAAACAAAAAGGAATTAATGTTTTAGGAGAGTATTGTTATGTGAAAGATTAAGTGAACTTAATTAGGGTGAAGAATTGGTTAGATTAAATTGTTAAATTAGCTTAGCTTTTGTCACTTTGAATCAATTTGATGATTAATGTCCTTTTTTCTATAGAGATCCTCTTGAGCTTCCATATTGGTTGAAAAATGTAAGGTTTAATTTTAGTTGCTTCAATTAAATTGAGAAAAAAAAATCAGTTTTAGTTTACTAATTTGTGGTTGTTATCATACTAAGTGACTCCTGGTTATTCTTTTTCGCCTCGTTATTATTATAAACCAATATCACAATAAATATAATAAAGTTTTAAAATTACAGGCCTCACAAAATTTAACGTAGTTTTATCAATTTTTTGCGCCAATCTTAAGTAATTTCTCCTCTCCAATTCACAACACTTACAAAAAGACAGAGTTTAGGTTCAATTACTTAAATTCGATTCTCCAGTAGTCAGACATAAGCAACGGAACTTTTTTAGTAAAAAATATAATTCACATGGATAAAATTTTAAACTTTTGTTAGAACATCATTAATAATTAAAAAAATTACATAAATTTGACCGAATGAATTTAAGAAAAGGTTATGCACCAAAGTTTTATCCATAACAAAACTTTGGTATTAAACTAATAATATATTTCTCCCGACCTTCGTGTAAGACATAATTAACTAATTTGAATAAATTAAGAATATTAGTTAAATTAGTTAAAATGATGTATTTTTTCTAAAACATCCCAAGTATTTTTCTTAATTCCGTCCCTCCTTTTCCCACTTGATCATTATTGGAGAATATCAATAAATTTAATTTAGAAAAAAAACTTAATAAGCATGTAAAATAGGCCTTATATATAGAATTAATATTAATTCTCTAATTAAATTTTAGGCTAAAGCATGTCCTTTAACCCTAAATTTTTTTTTAAAAAACTGATGACATTAAGATCTTAAATGTTGATAAAATATTCTTAAATGCTAATATATTAAATTTAATTTTCAAAACATCTATGATTGTTACAAAAAATCATCATTAAAGCTTAATGATTTTAGGGTTAAAAGACCAAATATATGTTTTTTAAAATTATGAGACTAAATTAAAACTTTGTATAAAATAAAAAACCAAATATATACTTTAGCCTAAATTTTAAATTAAGAATTGAAGGAGTACATATATTATGGTACAAAAATTTTACATGGGGATTTGAGCTCCATCGAACCCAAAAGCAAACTTTATAAAAAAGACTTACAGCTGGCCCATTTTCAAACCTACTTTGTAGGTATTTAAACTTGAGCCCAAAAGTATTTCCCCTTCCTCCTATTTTAGGACCCTTTTGGAATAATTTATAAGTAGCTTATAAGCTACTTTTTAATGATGATTTATGAAATACGAGATAAGTATCTAAAAGAAATTTTGTCTTGACTTACGTGAAACATGCTTATGAGGGATTTCTGCCGTTTTGCCAAACAAGGCCTTAATAGTCTAGCCCTAAAGTCGTTTGATTGTCAGATGTGGCTGTGTCGTGGGCATTATTGTTGTGTATTATATAAATAGATATATATATATATATATATATTGATGTCATCTAAGTGTTCATATAAAAAAAACATTAAATTAACAATAAAATTTAGTAACAGAATTTTCGTCACTAATCAAAATTAGCGACAAATTAGTGACAAAATTCAATTAGTGATAGATTTTTTTTTATCGCTAATTCTATCGTTACTAATTATTCAGTGACGGAATTCAAAATTCTGTCACTAATTAACGATGGATTGCTGATAGATTAGCAATGAAAAATTTTCGTTACTAATCCGTCATTAATTAAAGACAAATATCTTATGAAAATTATCTTACAAAATAGTAACGGATTTATAATAAAAATTCCATCACAAATTAGTAACGGAAATTTAATAGTTTCGTTGCTAAATTTTTTTTATTCTATAAATTTAAAATATCACATGACAATTGCTACATCATCACTACCTCCCACCTGTTCTCTCTCCTCCATGTCACCACATCCTCCTCGTCCACATCATCACCATGCCATCGCCTCCTCATCCATAATGCCATGTCATCCCCTCGTCCATGTTGTCATCACATGTCCATCACGTGTCCATCGTTTTGAGATGTCACGTCATCATCTTGTTCATGTCATTGCCACATCACAATTTGAGCCAATTTTGTGAAGGAATGATGGTTCAAATTAAGGACCTCTTGCACACATGCTGAAACCTTTGCTAGTTGAGCTGAGAAACACCTGCAAAATTTTTATGCAAAAATATATATAATATTTCTAATTACAAATACAAATATATATAATAAATAATATATATATTTAATATTTCAATTAATTTTTTATTTTATTAAAAATAATTATTCATTAATACTTTTATTCAAATATTAAATAAAATAATAATTATATTATATTTATTATTTATTATTTATATAAATAAATATAATTTATATCATAATTTTTTGTGATGGATTGGTGATGAAATAGTGACATCACTAATTCCGTCACAAAATATTTTATGAGGAGAGTTAGGGACGGATTAGTAATGGTAATTAGTGACAAATCATTTTATAATAGAATTAATGACGGAATTTAGCGACAAAATAAATTTTTGTCACTAATCCGTTACTAATTTAGTGATGGAATAAAATTCTATTACTAATCTTTAGCTAATTTATTGATGGAAAAATTTCGCCCCTAAATTCAGTCACTAATTTTAGGGACAGAATTTGTCATGAATTAGCGACGGAATAAAATTTCATCCCTAAATTCCATCACTAATGCTCTACTTTTTGTAGTGTTTTTTATGTTGTACCAAAAAAAGTGTTGTTTTATGTATTTGAATTCAATTTGTTGGGGGCAAAATTGTTAATTCATCGTAAAATATATAAATTTTTTTGGCGATCACAGGAAATAGAATATCATATAGTTTCTTGCAAAAGGAATGGACTATAGTTTCAACATATTACTGAAATGAATAATTTCTACTTGTTTTAATTAGTTACATGATGGCATACTAGTTAATAAGTAAATTTGTTAAACTTAAAAATTTAAGTACATTTGTAAAGAGGAAGTAAAGTCTTTGATAGTTTACCTTTACTTAAAATATTTACTAGATTACATAGATGTATAATTAATTATATTAAAATGTAATGATTAAGATATATGTTTAACTTATAATACATTCTAAGGAAGTTAATCTATTCAAATTGCATGAAGCTAATTATAATATTTACTTAATATGAAAATTCAATAACTTTAATAATAAGTAGTCATTGGATGTGAGCAGTGTAGAAAGATTGGGTTGGACTGGGTTAATTATCAATGCGGTGCCCAGTTGTGTCATCAAGATAGATTGGGTCAATGTGAAAAAAAAAATGTAATGAATAGGATTGGATTTAACAAATTCTTATTAAGAGATATGCTTATATTTAGTGCTTAATAATACTTCGAGCATGATTACCTTAAATAGAAGAATATATGTGTCTAGCAAAAATAATATTTAAAGATTTAAAAAGAAAATCATAAATTAATTTCCCATGAAAAATAATATTATGTTCAAAAGAAATGTTTTCTGAAATTATAAGTAAATTAATTATGCCTTAATTTTATTTAATATTAAGCTAAGATATCAATTTAAAATTTAAAATAAAATTAAAACATTGCAATCTTCAAACTTTTTACCAAAATTTTATAGTGAACTTAATAGATATTATGTATCAAGAAATACAAGTATATAAAGTTATTAAATAATACTCCTCTGGTCCTATTTATAAGTCACTTCTAACATTTTTCACATAGACTAAGAAAAACGTTAAATTTCATTAACTCTCATTTAAAATTCAACAATTTTCTAACTTTATCCCTATTTAATGTATATTATACCTCATATAAACAAAATCAACACAATAATAAATGAATGATAAAATTATACATGTATGCAAAAAAATTTTCTCAGTACCTTATAAATAAAATAAAAAAATATCTTATCTCTCTACCTTATAAATAGAACCAGAGAAATATTCATCAAAAAGCAAGAAAATATTGGGTTGAAAAAGATTGGGTTTGTCCTCGACTTGGTGTCTGGTTTATCGTGGTTATCTGGATCAACCGGGTATGTTGAGCAGGACCCGACTCATAGGCCTAACCCATAACTGCATAAGCCCGTTTTCCTGCAAAGAGCTCACATTTTAATTAGTTTGACCCATGATGTAGCATGAAAAAATTACAACACCACATAAATTGTCCTAAATATCATAAAATCAAACATCCTCATCAATAATCAAGATGTTCGAATCTAGAGTTGATGATGAAAAGCCAATTGTTGGAGTTCATTCAACAACAAAATCATCAACATTCTAATAACAATGTTAATCATATGTTATAAATAGGGAAAATTTCATTCAAGGACCGCTGAAGGCAATTAACTTCCAAGAGCCCCCAAAACAATTTGAAAAGCCACTGCAGGACTGTGGGGGCAAATTGAAATTAATTTCAAAACCAAAAAGACAGTGTTGCCCCTCAAACTATTACTCTGAAATTTGAAGTCTTTTCTCTCTCTCTCAAATCCCGATATCTGAAGCCCCTCTCCCTCACTCTAAAAATTTCAGTTTATGCAGCGAAGGAGATCGCTCCCCTCACCTCGCTACTGTTAAATATTTATTTGTGCAGTATTTGTGATCCATTGCTACTAGTATTCTGTCGGCCAAAATAAACAATGCAATCGTGTGAACAGTCAGTAATATATGTGTTTTATCTTTT